GAAGGAAGGAAGGAAGGAAGGAAGATCATAATCACTCCAGCCTAAAAAAATTGCCTCTTTTCGGCCAGCAGTGAGAACTCAAACCTTGAGATGGCCTGGCCACCACCCGCAGGTCAATAGTCTCTATTTTAACCTGAATAACATCTCCGTGGTTACTCACTACAGGAGTGGGCTGGCTATTTACAGACATTTGACATTTTCTAGATAGTGACAGAACCACATTGGGTTCTTTTCCACCTCGGAGAATCTCTGTTAAATAACTCTTGAAGGGCATTTCTGTCGGGCACCGGTCTGTAGGGGCAAACAGCGGTGTTCCTAAAGGGACAGCCACCCCCCCCTTTTTTGACTGAAATGGGTGCGAAATCAGACCTGTCCTGTTTCTTTTCTAAGGTGCACGGCCACCTTTCCATAGAGCCAGGTTTGCTCACTTGATTTATCCATTTCACATTGCATAGCCCAACTTAATTTTTCTTTTTCTTATATTTTCCTCTTCGGTTAAGTTTGGCTCCTACGTCTACATCGTGGCTTTGTCGTCGTCTTGTCCTGTGCTGTCAAGCGAGCTCCAACTCAGGGCGACCCCATGAACGAGCGCTCTCCAAAAAGTCCCGTCCTCCACAGCCCCTGCGCAGGACTTGCAAACTCAACCCTGTGGCTTCCTTGAGGGAGCTGGTCCATCTCGTATTGAGTCTTCCTCTTTTCCTGCTGCCTTCCACCTTCCCCAGCACGATGGCCTTTTTCCAGAGAATCCTGCCTTGTCAGGATGTGCCCAAAGTAGGACAGCCTCAGATCCCACATTTTCCCCTCCAGGGAGAGTTCAGGCTTGATTTGACCGAGGATCCACTGGTTCATCTTTCTGGCTATCTAGGGTCTCTGCAAAGCTGTCCTCTGGAACCACATTTCTGATTAATCATTTCTCCCCCCTGTCAACCTTCTTTGCTATCCAACTTTCATATCCTCTTTCTCTCTTATCTACTATGCATGCTTAAAACAACAACAACACCACAATATTCCTATATTCTTTGACCCCAATATATGGCTTGAATTAACTCTATGGGGCGTAGGCACCAGAAATTAACAAAAAATCAAATTAAAGACATATCCCAGGTAGCACTTAAAATACTTATTTATCATATTTGTTTTATATTTGTTCAGTTCCTGTCGTTAGCTTTTCAAATACTGTCTTTTAATTATGCAAGCCACTTGGGGTCCTTCTTAAGAAGAAAGGCGGGGTAAACATATTTTAGATAAATAAAATAATGAATGAATGAGTTATACTTGTGTCACAAACACAAAATGGAGGCTCGGGGCATTTTTAAGGGCAACATAATGATCCTGAGAACGGCTGCCTATTGCTTCTGCTAGTATTTTAGGACTCTAGTCTTTTTGTTGGTTTTTCTTAGAACAGATATCATTTAATTGCATAAAAGGGACTATCTTGGTTTTTTTCTCCCCTTTCAAGGGTAAAGTGAAAGGAAAGTTTTAATAAAGCCCAGACAAATAACAAACAACAGGGGTGGGGGTTGTAAACTAAGAGATTCACCAACATAATTCTCAATATATATTCTTGGGGTCGTAAGCAGAGGCAGAACTGCAGCCTTTTATAGAGCACCGAAGCTGATAAATAGGTGTTTTTAGTGACGTGCTGAAATAATGTCCATATTTCCCCCAATAAAGGGGGCCTGTTTTTCACATTTAGAACCCTTCTTTCTCCATCCTCGTGGCTGGAAACTCCTGGAACGAAATAACGCCCAAAATCTCTGATGGATGCAGGAATGTTTAGAGTCCGGCCAGAAGCTTTAGTCGATTCATCGACCCGTTCACATCGGCAAAGCCAGTCCGGCGGAGCGGCTCGCGTTGACGCCCAACTGGCGAGACCTGAGTTCAAATCCCTGAAACTGACCCAGTGACCTTGGGACGGCCACTTAATTTTTAAAAAAATCTAAATTATAACTTTGCTGGGGGTATTGCTGTTTCTGTCTAAACCAGCCGTGCTCAACTGTTTTTTTTTCCTCCAGTCCACAGCCCTAAACACAATATGAAAGAAATATAGGCCAAAGTCAAGATTATATATATTGCAGAATCAACCTTATGGGGTGGCATATGAAGGATTGTGTCCAAATTGTGGCCTCATTCAAATGTGCCAGCCCCGCAGTTGAGAATGGCCACTCTAAGCTCTTCTGCAAGAAGGGAGGATTAAAAATCCCAATCAAATACTCATTCAGAGCAGATCTTGGCCTTTTGCGGGACATACATTAAGAGCTTCAACGGACGTTAAGTGGACTTCGATAGGAAGTTGAAGAAAAGTGACATTCCTTTTTGTTTGTTTGATAAACAAACTGCCAACATGACGTTCACAAATCAAAACTTTCAGATCCAAGACATGACATGCTTTTTGATCCGCACCCCGCATCTTTTTACCTGCTTCCCGAACGGCGAGGAGAGCCACAGCGGTCCAAAAAACCCACTTCATCGTGCAGATGTTGGGCGGTGTTGCCGAAGGGACAGGTCCGAGGCGAGGCAAGGAGAAATCAAGTTTGCAGACGCTTTGAAAGGCAGTGTGTCCAGCACGCGCGAGAGGTTTAGCTTCTCCTCCGCTTCGCTCGCTCGCTCAGCCCGGCCCACAACCCACAAAACACATCCTTCCCTGCATTGAGGGCCTTCCAACACTTTATTTCAAGATAGCCAATCCACTCGACAACCCGAAGTTCCTCTTTCTTCACCTCGCTTGAAAGAAACCGGGTATTCGAGAGCCCGGCGAGGGCTGGATGGAGGAGAACAGATGTGTAAATGTAGTTTTGGGGTGCATGGGAAACTCATGGTTTCGGGAAACCCATGCTCCCCGTTCGGCCTTGGTAAGCTCTCCACGGCTGACCAGGATCCCAAATGAATGGATGAATCAGCCTCTGTGCACCTTATCCCTGGCTCAAGTGCAATAATAATCACATGCTGTCAAGTCAACTTTGAGTCATGGTGACCTTTTCCAGGAAGAAAATTCTCAGAAGTGTTTTTCTTGTTTCTTTCTTCTGGGGCCAATCCTGGGACAGCACAGCTTGCCCAAGGCTACCCGGGCTGGCTCTGCTTCACAGGAGGCCCAGTGGGGATTCGAACTCCCAACCAGAGGTATCAGCTGCCAACCACTTCCAAGTTAAAGAAGGACAAGTTCCTAGTCCCTATGGCTGTCTTAAAGACAAGGCTTTACTGAAATGGGTGGAGAGAGATCGATCACGAAGGGGCCGGAATTCGGGATGTAGGGAAAGGATCAACAAATCAGAGCCGGACTGAATGTTGGGGTCGGATTTATGTTAATTAGTATTTACAGAGGAAGCACGGAAAGACTGTTTATTAAAAGGAGGAGCATCCCATTTCATCCTACAGGTTGTCCAGTCCTGTTGTTGAGCCAAATCATTCAGTGCGACATCATAATAGAAAGTTTATCAGAAAGTTTATTGGATCTTTTGCTTTAAATTTTAACTCATCAATTGGTTACTTTGACACAGTTTTAATTTGCGTCATCATCACCATGCGCCACCAAGTCAATTCTGACTCGTGGCTGCTCTTCCCTTCCTCTAGGGGGAGCCCTGGGACGGTGCAGCTTGCCCAAAGGCTCCCCAGGCTGGCTCTTCTCTCGGGAGGCACCGCGGGGAATTCGAACTCCCAACCTCAAGAGTCCTAAACCAGCTCTCACAATACCCACCCACAAAACACGCAGGCCACAGTGTTTGTCCGAAGCAAACTTTTAATATATTTAGTCCCATGTAGATTCTGGAACTCCCAGTTGACATAACAAGCGCTGCTACAAGATATTGCAAAATTGGAAATAAAAAGTCACCGGGGAGGGAGGGAATCAATATTCGTGCTTGAACCTTCCTTGTAGGATCTATACGCCTTCCGATTGCGTTGTTTTTTTTTTTTGCAAGAACACGAAACTAAACAAACCAACCCACAGCCGTGTACGCGAAACATCCATTCTTGATATCCAATCTGTTCACTGGCCACTTGTAGTCCATGGCTTCCAGCCACGACTGGGCAGCAAGAGAAAAGTGGGAATTCTCCTCTCCCAAAGGAAGGAATTTCCCCCCGATATACTTTCGTTGGCTTCTCTGGCCGCTTGTCCGCGGATGAAACCCTGAAGGGCTCAAAGACAAATCGTGCTCGGAGCCACAAAAACCACATCGCTTCTTATAGAGAGGCACGCTTCAGAGAACTTGCAGCCAAGCAGAAAAATTATACCGTATATATTTCCCCTAAGCATCACTAAAGGCGTTTTGTTTTGAATGAAAGGGAACCAGGCTAAACAGATAATGCAGGATCCTCCCAAGGATATGTCTTGAAAGATTTAATTCGACAAACTGCTGAAGGCAGGAAAGAGCGATTGCAATGATGTTCGTATGTTTGTTTTATCTGCAGGGTTGTGTGTGTTTTGTTTTTTGCACAGAAGAGAACAAATCCAAATAAAGAACCCAAACAAAACCCTCAGTTTGTTCTCGTAGACATCACCGCCTTAGCTTTTCCTACTTCTCTAAATGGGCTGTTTGAACCTCTGTTCTATCAAATGCGTGGGAGTGAATTTAAACCACAAAATATCATTTTAGGTGCCCTTTGATTGGCCTTTGGCAAAAGGCACCCGGATTCATGCTGAATAGATCCGAGCCTCTCTTTTGCTGGAAGCCAAGCACTGTCAAGACTGCTGCAAATGCTCTTCTAGGTAGGGATGAGAGACAAACCTTGTACCCGAACCCATGGCAGCTTAGCGGTGGATAGCACTGGGTTAAATGGACCAAGTGCCATTCTGTATCCTTTCATTGGCATCTGTGGTTTCACTTATCATTTAAAAATATTTAAAGGAAAAAATATGTATTTTCACGGTGTATTTACCAAAACTGGCCACTAGAGGGAGCCAGAGGCCATACTTTGCATTCTTGGCCTCTGGCTCCTTCTAGTGGCCAGTTCTGGTAAAACCATTATGAAAATGCTTTTTCCTGGATTTATTTTGCCATGCTATGTATAAAACCATTATGAAAATGCTTTTTCCTGAATTTCTTTTGCCATGCTATGAATAGTGTTTACTATTATCTGCAGGTTTCAGCATCTGCTGGGGGCTGGCAACCAATCCGTTGCAGATATGTGGGTCCTACTGTGCTTATATGTTAGAAGCATACTGTCACCACTTAAGAGTAGTTTTAATTTCTGTTGCTGCGTACGCCCCAACGAAATATAGAGCAATGATAAGCGTCTTCTTCCGAACCATACCCTTGTTCCATCCAGTGCTGTACTGATCGCATGCACCGACAGTAACTGTTGCAGGAGCAAGGAGGGGCCTGAATGTGGCTAAAGTCAGAGGCGAAGAATTCAGAAACGTTTGTGTGCAAAACATGTACGCTGCCGATGAACTACGGTCTGTTTATTTCAAAAGCAAAGCAAGGTCCCAGTCCTCATGGTTAGGGACAAAGGGTTCGTTTTAAATAGGAACCTTGGAAGCTGCATGACGGCACATCGGATCCGTGGCCCAATTTTCCCGCAACAGATTTTCTTAGCTTAGTTTAGGAAGGCTTGGGGTGGATTCTAGTGATTTCTACACCTAGAGCAACTGCAATTCCTGCTCAGCCGCAGTTCCTACACGAAGCAAGAAAAGGAGTCCCTCAAAATTTACAGGTGGTCAGCTTCTGAGTCGCCCCCCCAAAAGTCACTCCCCCTGCATTGGAGGAGACAAAATGGCTTTTCGGCTCTGCTTCAACCTTCACACACACCCCATCGCCTCCTACGGGCTCCTTCCAGGGGACTTTTAGGACATGGAGGTGGAGGTGGCAGTGGGAGAACATCAGAAGAGCCCGGCTGGATCAGGCCAAGGGCCCATCGAGTCCAGCTTCCTGTATCTCACAAGTGGCCCCACCTGATGCCTCTGGGAGCACGTGAGACCACGAGATCTCTGTCTCATGATCCCCCTCCCCGGCATCTGGCCTATGGAGGTCCCTTCCTTCTGAGCCTGGAGATTATACATCCCTAATGTATGGAGATCATTTGGGGGGGATCTGCAAGAAATGGGTGCCAGCGCCCCCCCACCGACCCCCTGCAAAAGGAGAGGCAGTTGTTCCGAAAGACAGAGAAAAAGAGAGAGAGAAAGGAGGGCTAAAGGCAAGTTCAAATGACACCCAGGGCTGTGAAGACAGAAAGCGGGGGGAGAGAGAGACCTATGAGCAAAGGCACCTTCACCAGAGGAAGCAGGGGGAGCCGCAGGCGAGAGACGGCTGAGAAGCCAGCCCCGGTGACAAAATCCGCATACACACGTACATATATATATTTATATCGATGTGCGCAGGTCGCTTCCATCCGACAGGTTTGCAAAGTGGGTTTTCTCCCCCTCTTTTAATCGTAGGCAAGCCCTGCCCTACACGGCAGGGCAACACAAGACTGTACAGACACACAGGAAGAAAGAGAAGGGACGGCAGGCGGGCCTCCGGAAGAGGGAGGGGACGCGGCCTCGGGTCCCAATCCCGGCTCTGACACGGCCCCGGCGCTTATCTGTCCACCTCGCCAAAGACAATATCCTGAGTGCCTGAAGAAGAAACAGAGAGAGAGGGGTTAGCTTGCCAAGATTTTGTTTCGAGAAAATCACGTATTTCTTCTCTCCGTTTCTTTTACCTTGAGGAAATGGAAATAAGGGAGATATTGAGAGCGCGGACAGGCCTTTTCCCGATGTGGCGCCCTCCAGATGGGACGGACTACGATGCCTATTCCCATCCATGATTTCACTGGTACAGTGGTGCCTTGCTTGACAATTACCTCATTAGATGAGGAAATTGCTTGACGATTAATTTTTGCGATTGCTATTGCGATCGCTAAACGATGATTCAATGGGTTTTTCCGTTTTACGATGATCAGTTGGTTCCCTGCTTTGCGAACTGAACTTTAGCTTAATGACGATCAAAAACAGCTGATTGTCGGGTTTCATAATGGCCACCCGCTGTGCAAAATGGCTCCCCGCTGAGCTTTAGGATGGATTCCTCGTGTTACAGGCATCGGAAAATGGCCGCCCTATGGAGGATCTTCGCTGGACGCTGAGGTATTTAGCCCACTGGAACGCATTGAACCGGTTTTCAATGCATTTCAATGGGCTTTTTCGTTTCGCTTGACAAAGATTTCACTTAACAGCGATTTGAACGGAACAAATTATCCTCGTCAAACAAGGCACCACTGTAGCTGACAGCTCTTATGGAAATCCCGGGCCATTCCCTCTACCTGCTGCAGCACCCAGTTGATGGTCTGCGTGCCGCGGGTTGAGAATTAATCTATGAACACGCAACTGGTCCGAGGCCTTTGAGACTGAGAGTCCGAGGCTCCCAAAAAGGAGCCGAAAGCCAAGAAATAAAGCCAGTCTTACCTATGATGGCCACCACATCGGCCAGCATGTGACCTTTGGACATCTTATCCAAGCCAGCCTGGAGAAGAAGATCGGAAAGAAGCCAGGAGGAAAGGGAGAAGAGATTTGTATATTATTATTTTTTTTGTTAGAGACAACGTTGACACAAAGCAGCAGGGAAAAGGATCAGGAGAAGAAAGGGGCGACCCGGCATGGGATCAAGATGGGTTTTGCAGGATGGCTTCCATTTAGAACTAGAGATGGGCACAGATCAGTTCGTGCCAGTTCGTAAAGGCAGCTGCACAGGTATATTAGGAATGGTTACTACAGACATTCAGAACTATCGAACTTGGATCTATTCGGAACTATCAAAAAATGGCACCATTTTGGGTGAATCCCGAATATTTCCAAATTTGTACGAATTTGCTTTATTTGCAAATTTGCGCCTCCTCGCCGGGCGCTGCCTTCTGCGTCATGGGAATAGCGCCTCTGTTGCTGTGTCTGACAAGCCAACGCCAGCATTTTGCAGCAAAAGGGCTGGAAAACGCTTGGGGAGGGAGGAATTTCCCACAGTGTTTTAAAACTGTTGCTATTAGTCATGCTTCCTTCCGGGCAAGGAAAACGCTTGGGGAGGGAGGAATTTCCCACCATATTTTAAAACTGTTGTTATTAGTCATTCTTCCTTCCGGGCAAGGCGAGTCCTCCCCCCCCCCAGCGCAATGCAGAAGAGAAGCTACAGGCTTGGCGGCATGGACGCTTCCTTCCTCCGTAGGGGTTTCTCTCTTCATGCTGCCCAGTTTGGGGTGTGTGGAAATGTGCCCTCCTTACACTCTACCACACGTCCCCCCTCCATATCCCGCTTTCATGTTTCAGCTGCAGTTGGGGTGCACGCCTAGGGAGATCAGCGGGTGCTTTGCGGGACTTAGAAAAATAGCTTTCTGGACTTCTGTGTTCCAGGAATTGGCATGCTTGTTTTTTAAAAAAAGGAACAGCTTTCAGCACAGCAAACAGAAATTGAAATTAAAAGTTTTAGAAGAGGCAGCTGTGCTAAGCGTGTGCAAGCGTATCGGGTGAAATCCAAACGTAAAAAAAAAGAACGCAATTAAAAAGGCCAAAAACATGCGGCACCTTCAAGACGATTATATTCTAATGTGAGCTTCTGTGGATCAAGTCCACTTCGTCAGATGTATGGAAAAAATTTGAAATACAGAATTCCCAAGTAAAACATACTGAATGTCTTTTTATTCACCATGTCTGATAAAGTGGACGCGATCCACAAAAGCTCACGTTAAAATTTAACCGTCTTGAAGGTGCTGCATTTTTTTTGCCTTTTTAATTGTGTTCTTCTTTTCTTTTGGATTTTGCCCACTCTGAAAGTAAAGTAGCTCTCGTTGTGTCTGTCTGTAAGAGTTGGCTCCTGCAAACCTCAGCTCTTCTCTCAGGTGTACTTCCACATGACACTTTACATCCTTCTCTTTATCATTTGGAAGAGGGAGACCCATTGGGCTTCACCAAACCTTCTGAATCTGGCTCCCCCTGAGCCAGATTCAGCCCGGAAACAGATCTTCCCACATTCCCCCATGCCTGTCGGCCAACGAAGGACTTCTTTTCTTTTGGATTTTGCCCACTCTGAAAGTAAAGTAGCTCTCGTTGTGTCTGTCTGTAAGAGTTGGCTCCTGCAAACCTCAGCTCTTCTCTCAGGTGCACTTCCACATTAAACTTTATATTCTTCTCTTTATCATTTGGAAGAGGGAGACCCGTTGGGCTTCACCAAACCTTCTGAATCTGGCTCCCCCTGAGCCAGATTCAGCCCAGAAACAGGTCTTCCCAGATTCCCCTGTGCCTGTTGGCCAGCGAAGGACAGTAGCACGATGTGAGCACGGAGGGATGACAGAATTGCTAGACGGGCCGCCCCGGGTGGGTTGCTCCTTTAAGGCTCTCCGGGAAGGGGTGGATCCTGGGAAGCAAGGTATCTGGCCAGGATGGGGATCAAGGGCTGCACTGATAAACCAGGTCTGGGTTAAGACAGAGAAGTACATCCGTCTTCCCAGAGAAGTACATCTGTCTTCCCAGAGAAGTACATCTGTCTTCCTGGTTTCTACATTGCACTTGGAAAAGTTACTTTTCTACATCATAAATCTTGGAATCCCACCAGCCTGTGTGTTTATTTGCTATCCCGGCTGAGGGATTTTGGGATCTGTAGTCCAGAAAAGAACTCTCTCGGTCTGTCTTTGCGCCAAGCATACCCTCAAGAGGAGCCGGGTTTTTCACTTACCAGATGGGCAAAGCCTGGAGCCTTGATCTTACAGCAGAGAAGTACATCTGTCTTCCTGGTTTCTGGAGTTACATTTGCATTGCACTTGGAAAAGTTACTTTTCTACATCATAAATCTTGGAATCCCACCAGCCTGTGTGTTTATTTGCTATCCCGGCTGAGGGATTTTGGGATCTGTAGTCCAGAAAAGAACTCTCTCGGTCTGTCTTTGCGCCAAGCATACCCTCAAGAGGAGCCGGGTTTTTCACTTACCAGATGGGCAAAGCCTGGAGCCTTGATCTTACAGCGGTAAGGCCGGCTGCTGCCGTCCGACACAAGGTAAACGCCAAACTCTCCCTGCAGCACAAAAAGGCAAAGACCAGAGTTTTCACACCTCAACTGGTGGGAGGCAAGTGCTTAGTACATGGCATACGACAGCCACAACCGCGGTCATAAAGGATCGTGCTACGGCAGAGATTCAGAGAGGCTGGCGGGCAACCAGCCACGACGTAGAAACATCCATTCAAGACAGGGGTGGCTAGCATTCCATGAACCCCAGGACACCCTTGGCCTCGTTTTCCCTAAACTTTCATGGAGGCAAGAAGAGAAAGGCTAGAGTTTCACTGATCCAAAGGTGCCTATTTTAGAGATCGGGAGAGGGTGGATTTGATGCAAATCAAGTAATAAGTAAACACATTCCACCTTTCTTTGGTTGTATGTTGCTTGACAGTAATTTGTGGGCTCCGTGCCAATGAACAAATACTTTTTTTTAAAAGAAGGAAAGCAAGTACAGTGCTGTTGTTGTTAGCTGCTGGGAATCTGCAGGAGAAGCTCTTTGATGACATACTGCTTACATAACCGGTCACGCAATCGGTACTTCCCCGAAGAGCTGCCGCTGTTTCAGCAACTGCTGCTCTGTGATTTGACCACACAACAAGCAACCGTTTTTACACAGATTGATACCTTCGGTGCCTCGATGGCTGTGTACGTCGCTCCCGGGGGGACCTGGTAGCCTTCGGTGTACAGCTTGAAGTGGTGGATCAGGGCTTCCATAGACGTCTAGCAAAGAATGAGATGGGGGGGGGGAAAGCCACACTGTAGAATTCAGGTGTTGTCCCTGTCGTCCAACAGGTGGGCTGGAGACGGCGAAAGGTTCCGGGGTTTGCCACAAGAGGGAGCCATCCTCCAGGGTGGGCTGAAATCTTACTTACCTTCATCTCTGCTCTTTTTGGGGGCGAGATCTTGGCGTCGTCCACCTTGATCTCTCCCTCGGGCATCTTGTTGAGGGCCTGCACAATGATGCGGAGAGACTGGCGCATCTCCTCCACGCGACAGAGGTACCTGGCAGGAGGAAGGGCAGGATCACAGTCGATTCCGGGACGCAGGGCAGGCAAAGAGCGGAGGAACCAAGGAGATCAAAAGGCGTCGAGCCACCCATGAAGCCTTGAATGGTGCCATCTCCTGGATTTTCTCACTTAGATCCAGGGCAGGTTGCAAGCACAGCTTGAGAATCGCTCCCCCCTCCACACTTCCAAACTACAATTCCCAGAATGCTTGAACTGCCGCGTCCCCTTGTTTAGTTGCTTATTTAGATGCCGCCCATTGGGCCAATGGTCATCCTGGCCGAATCACAAGCAAGAGCACAAAGACAAGACAACCCTCCCCCACAAAAAAACATTAAACTAATGAAATTAAACTCAAAATAATGAGTAAACCAAGTTAAAAACAGTGGCTATAAAATAAAAGGTCGGTGAAGTCAATCTGCGGTGCTGGAAGAGGCTCTTGACTGCAAAGAGAACAAACCGATCCGTTCTGAAGGAAATCAACCCTGAGTGCTCACTGGAAGGAAAGATCCTGAAGCTGAAGCTCTAATACTTTGGCCATCTCATGAGAAGATAAGACTCCCTGGAAAAGACCCTGATGTTGGGAAAGTGTGACGGCAAGAGGAGAAAGGGACGACAGAGGATGAGATGGTTGGACAATGTCATCAAAGCGACCAACATGAATTTGACCCAACTCCAGGAGGCAGTGGAAGACAGGAGGGCCTGGCGTGCTCTGGTCCATGGGGTCATGAAGAGTCAGACACAACTCAACGACTAAACAACAACAAAGTCAACAAGTTCTTAAGCTGGCAGGTTTCGAAAAGCCTCGGAGAGGAGAGGTGTTTTTAAAAGGTTCATAAAACATGCCAAGGAGGGGGTCGGGTGAATTTCCGGTGGCAGATCATTCCAGAGGCAGGGTGCAACCGCTGAGAAGGTCGGGTTCCTTGTTATCTCCCTTCCGGGCTTCCCTATAGGGGTTAGCGCCCTCAGCTGTCCAGCCTGGGAAAAACGGGTCAGGCAGGCAGCCGTTCTGCCATGTCACGAAGTCAAGCTGACTGGGGCTCCTATTTTCTTTTAAAGAACTAATTACAAACAGGAACATTGTGAAGTTTACTGATATGAGAGCACCACCGCTCCTGCTAAAACCAGATCTGGTGGAGGAAAATGAGAACAGCCACCGAGCCACTCCTTACCCAAAGTCTCCGCAGGGGAAAGCGAGGGCAGCTTCTTTCCCACGGCAAGCGGGGTTTGTCCAATAAGCTGAGCCAAAATCTTCGGGGCCCTGAGTACACCCCCATAGGGGTGCGTTGAGTCTGCGAGACCGGAAGTAAATCCAGGCCTTGGCATAGAATAAGCAAGGAAAAGGAGAAAGCATGGAGACGGCCAGGAAGGACCCCACGGGCTGGGGAGCCTGTATTTCTTGGTCAAGAAGCCTCATGGGAGGGCTAAGATGAGCTTAGTGAAGTTCTCCTCACCTGTCGTAGCAATCTCCCCGCGATCCGATGGGGACGTCAAATTCCACCTGGTCGTAGACGTCGTAAGGCTGGGTTTTACGGAGATCCCACTTGATCCCGGATCCTCGAAGCATCACTCCACTACAAAGGAAAAAAGAAAATAGAGGGAAAGAAGAGGGAACTCCAAAATCACATTATTATTCCACTTGCCAGTGATGAGCTTCGGCTCCATCCTACAGGCACAGCCCAGGCTAAATCGCGCTTCTCCCAACCCGAGTGTCTCCTGTAGGCTTCCAGCTACATCCCCCTATCGTCCATGACCAGAGAAGCTGGCTGGGTTTGACGGGAATTGTCACGGTAACAAATTAGAAGAACGTCCTTTTGGCAGAGGTGGGTGCTGATGGAAACCTGGTTCCTTCGTCATCATCTTAGAACGGCAGAGCTGGAAGGGACCCTGCGGATCATCACGTCCAGCCCCTGTCAAGGAGGCCCAGTGGGGAGATTCGAACTCGCAACCTCTGGCTACACAGGCAGAGACCTAACTCACTGAGCTACCCAGAGGGCAGTAGATCTGATCCATCTTTCGCATGGAAATATCATCATCATCATGTGCTCTCAGGTCAATTCTGAATTATGGTGAGCCCATTTCAGGTTTTTCCAGGTAGAGAGTACTCAAAAGTGCTTTACCCTTCCGTTCCACTAGGGGCGCTGTGGGACAGTGCAGCTTGCCCAAGGCTACCCAGGCTGGCTCTTCTCCCAGAAGGCCCAGTGGCGGGAATCAAACTCCCAACCATTGGCTCTGCAGCTACTAAGCTCTCTAGCAGTTCTTAAACATGCTTTCTAGTTCTTAAATATTCAAAATGCTTCGAAGCCTTTAAAAAAAGGCTATCCGACGTATTAAGCCTGCGTGAGCCAGCCATGTTTTTAAACAAAACAAAACAAAACAAGTCCAAAAGAAGCGTGTCCTACTCGGACGCATCCTGAGAAGGCAGGATTCTCTGGAGAAGACCATCGGGCTGAGACAGGTAGAAGGCAGCAGGGAAAGAGGAAGACCCCAATGTGAGATCGACGGACTCCCTCTAGGAAGCCCCAAGCTTGAGTTTGCAAGAGCTGAGCCGTGGCTGTCAAGGACAGCAATTTTTGGAGGGCACTGTAAGTTGGAGGCAATGTGCCAGCACGGGAGAATAACAGGGACATTTAGTCTAAGATACAGCCTGCCCGCCCCTCACCTGTGGATGTACATGTGAACGGGTTTCCTACCTAAAACCATAGTTGAGGGCGTCCTCTGAGGAGATGACTCCAATGTCAACCGTGCGCTTCTTCCAGATCCGGTTGTTGGTGAGCAACTGGAGCAAGAAGAGAGAACAGAACGGGCTGAGCTTTGCACG